GTTGGTCCCGTCAGACAATGGAAACCACGAATGTGCCCAGTACGCACTGACTTAACTTATCATCATCATTATCCAGTGGCATATCTGCGACTGTTCTGCGATCATGGGTGGTTCTCCATTCATTCCTTTGCTCGGATGCTCTCAAAAAAAAAAGCTACGTTGCCCTTATCTTTCCCTGTTACCCATTTGTTTTGGGTTCCCTAAGTAGGCTGTTCTGAGCCTACTCTTGTCGCGTTTGCCTTCAATTTTGCCAGTGAGAGCAAGATGTTCAAGACCCTTATGTCTATTCAGGTGTCCCCAAAACTGCATAATTTGTTGTTTTCTAATGGTTTTTAACAGGGAGCTCAACTTATACATAATGCAATCTCCTAGACTGTGCATTCTGACGTATTTCTGGTTCACTATGGAGCGCCACATTTCGCTACCCAGGAACCATCAAAGTTCTATCCGCTCAGTACCTACTTTTGAGTAATTTGAAGTTATAACAATTTGAGTTTCACAACACAGTCAAGCTTTTTCGAATGCAAATTCTTTGAGCATCTCGATAACGACTCCGAATAATCATACATTCTTGATATTATACCTTGTTGATAGTTTAGTATCTGATCTCAAGGTAGTTTCTCAAAATGACCATAAATGTCAGATAGAAATCTGTAATTCTAAAGCGGTGCTTTGGCTCAGTTTGAGGTTGGGGAGGGGGATACCATGCACTCGACTCTAGCGAAACTAGCGTCTTACCGTTCAATATGGCGTGATAGTTCCTCGATTGTGCCCTGCATGACGAAATCTATAACTGACACTTATAAAAAGAGTAAATGAATGATTGATTGATTGTATGAATTGGATTTTGTTTTTCAGTTGTTTTTAACGAAAGAACATTCATTGCTGAAATTTTACCGAGTAATTTGCTTTGATTTGCATACAAAAAGTAAAAAAAAGATTGAACAACACAAGCTGAATTGACATTTTAGAGGGACTATCTCTACACCACCAAATTGAAGCTGGACATTTAAAAAACTTAAGTTACAACTACAGTGTTAAAGTGCTGTAATTATGACTATCATCAATACTCAAATACTTAAATGAAATTGTGACAAACTAGGCCTGTGACAAACTGGGCACCCCCCTCCCCCCGCAGCGAATGTTTTATAGAGAGTGAAGAGTGATCGACGGCCTTGACTGTACACGTCTTTGGTAGAAGGCCTACAGTGCGGTCAAACATTCAAGGTGCAACTTATTCTCAAATTGATTGTATGAATTGAATTGAATTTTTCAATTCTTTTTAACGAAAGAACACTCATTGTTGAAATTTTACACGGGCGTGCTCAACACGACGTGCCAGGTCTTGTAACATCTCTATTCTTTGGCTCTTATATATGACCTTATTGTGTTGCAAGTGACGTAAAACTCTAACTCTTACTAAAAACTAATTTAAAAACTCAAACTCGTATAATGTGTGCAGGACGGTCAGCGGGGAAGCAGAGGCGTGTTCAGCACGACGTGCCAGGTCTTGTCACACCTCTAATCTAGACGGTCAGAGAACGTAGTATAGCCTCTAATCTTTGGCTCTTATATGACCTTATTTTGTTGCAAGTGCTGTAAACTCTTACTAAAACTAAATTAAAAATTCAATCTCGTATAATGTGTGCAGGATGGCCAACAGGGGAGCTGAGGCGTATTCTACACAACGTGCCAGATCTTGTAACACCTCTAGTTTTTTACTCATATATTATTATGACCTTATTGTGTTGTAAGTGCAGTAAAACTCTTACAAAACTAAATTAAAAACCCGTAAAACTCTTACTTAAACTAAATTAAAAACTCAATCTCGTATGTGTGTACCTACAGGACGGTCAGCAAGGAAGCAAAGGTGTGTTCAACACGACGTGCCAGGTGGTCATTACGGTGGAGGACCAAGACGATCAGAACCCTGTGTTCAACAGCTCCATCTACCGGGGTGTTATCACCAGCCAGGCCACAATGGTACGTGAGTGTGTAGGTGCCTGTGTGTGTATGTATGTGTGTGGGGGAGGGGGCTGTCAGTGTGTGTGTGTGTGTGTGTGTGTGTGTGTGTGTGTGTGTGTGTGTGTGTGTGTGTGTCATCACGGCTTTGCTTTCCTTTACGTTTTAGTAAGAGTTTGACTAAGAGTTGCACTTGCAACACAATAAGGTCATACAAGTGGCCGGCGAAGATTACAAGTGTTACAAGAGAGAAACAAACACAAAGAAGGAGGGGAGAAAAAGGACGATAGTTTTTTATAGAAAAGAAGAAGCAAACCACACCAGAGCACCCCCCCCCCTTCCACCCACCTACCCAAAAAAGGAAGAAAGGAAGAAGAAGAAAAACAAACAAAAGAGAAGAAGAGAAGGAACCTGCAGAGGACACAATGAGAAAGTAGAAGAAAAGAAAGAGAAAAAAAGAGGAATAAAGCCTCGAGAGTACAAGTCGGCGACTTCACTGGTAGTGGTAGGATAAACCATGATCAAACGGCCACAGGTCAGGCGAGAGATTCCCCGTACGTACAGACCGTCAAAAATTACCTACACCGACGAACAAACAAAAGATCAAGGCAAAGTGGGGAGTGTGTGTGTGTGTGCGTGTGCGTGTGTGTGTGTTTGTGTGTGTGTGTGCGTGTGTGTGTGTGTGTGTGTGTGTCTGTGTGTAAGTGTCTATAATGTGTGAGTGTCTGTAATGTGTGAGTGAGAAAGAGAGAGACCGGCCTGATGATACCGCGA